TCCCAATCTGGTCTCTGTTTCTGTTTAACTTTAAAGCTGAATCCCCCAAGCTCAGAGCAGAGACAGAATGCAGAAAGAATAGCATTGCCACGAAAGTAGACTAGTCAAACGCATCCTGGCCTTGTGGCAGTTGGAAACAATCTTATTTCTCTGACCTTTTTGCCTTTAGCACAGTTAAAGCAGAGGTGTTCCATCACCCAGGACCCTCTGCGGTTGCCAGAGGCCTCCAAGTACCCCTACAAGCCCTAAGATGAGCTAGATGTGCAGCATCACCGTTCGGGCTCCCTCTCACTCTGCCTCAACAGATATGTGTGCTGCTTAGGGACATGTAATTTCTCACGTGTTACACAGACCCAGCAGAAGGCAAAGCTGCTATCCTGGGAGTTTCGCTTGGACGGATGCAGGTTTGAATCCCAGGTTTTGCTTCAGAGCATAACACAAGGTACTCCAGGACACGTTCCAGGTGCTTAAAGTCCTGCAGTGCAAAGCAACTCGCCAGCTCTGCTTCCAAACCTGTCTGCACCAGTTTCAGTAGGAAATCAACTGGTCAACAAGCAAGGGGTCTGCAAACCAATAAGCAAAACCAGCGCAGTCCTCTCGAGTGAAGTAGGCATCTAGTACCAGGAGCTTCTCCTCCTATTCCAAATGGGTTAAATTCACTGTCAGCTCCATGGGGAGACAATTGATGCCCCGGTCCTTTCTGCCCTCTTCATACACTTTCAGTAAAGGCTGCAGGGTGCTCCGCAGAGGCCTTAGTCGTTTCTAACAGTTCAGTAACTCTCCAAGCAGGGACAAGAACAGGAATATAATACATGCTCTGAACTCAGGTATCTCTGCTCTTAGGGCACTGCCTTCAAGCCGTCTTTCCTTGTGGCTTTACTCATGAAAAATGACAGATCCTTCAAAAATATGGGGCCCTCATCCCTGGGGCTCAGGGATGTTAAATGGGGTCTAACAGGTGGGAGCTCAGTAAAGGGACACAGTGTGCAGAGGACTCCAGGATGCATCCTTAAAAGAGAGCGACAGCAAAATCAAAAGAACTATCAGCCACTTGGCTTGGTTCTCCTGCACAGATCTCCCCCCTGGCAGTCGCAAAGCGGAGACGTTTTTGAACTGCATAGAAAATTAAATGGCTTTTGCATATTAAAAAAATACAGATGAAAACACAGTTACACCAGTTACTAAACAGTGGGCGGATGAGCGATCACCATTTCGTATTAAATAGACCCAACTAGACTGATCTCCACACTGCCACACTCCCGGCATTACGGCTTCAGCGCACACAGCACACTGAGTGCCTGCAAAGGCCAGGTAATGCTGTGCTCCTGCTGAGGTGGCATGCCCTGGCAGGAGGGCTGCGGTCCCAAGGAGCAGGCTGTAAGACGTCTGCTCTGTCCTCTCACTCCTTCAATGCTCATGCATTCCAGACCAGATGGGCACACTGGGAAACAGGCCTCCAGCTGGAAAAGGATTCCAGTTTGTGGTTTCTTTACAACGTGGTTTCCACGCAACGTCACAGCAACAAATCGCTAGTTTCTTCCTATGGAGAACAGAAAGAGAGAGGTGAGTAGCAGCAAAGAGAGGAGGAGGCGGCCACCCAGCACAGGAGGTGACAGTAGGGAATGTTCTAACTTAAGTTCTGGCTATACCAGGGCCCTTCGTGTCTCATGGGCAGCAAGACTCAGGACAAGGGAGTTTCCTAGCACTATTCCTGACACCATTCAAAGATCTCACCTCCCTTTCACTCCCTCCAGACACCACAGGCAATTTCTAGTCCCCAATTTATCTACAGCAATACAGAAGCACAATCAATTAATGCTTCTCACTGCCGTAAGAAAGGTTCAAATGTCCGCTGCCAGAGGTGGTAGGTCAACATATGAAATCTGAACCCAAGTTCTCTCCCCAGCTGGAACGATACCCTGAAGAGATGCAAAGCTGACTGAGCTGCCAGCTTTTATTTGGCAGCTTTTGCCCCTGAAGGGAGGCACAATGGCTTGATTTCTTCCATCTGGCCCCTGCATCCCTCACTAGAGTGGATTCTGCCCTGCATTTCCCAGTGTTAAGTTCCCTGCACACAAGGCTAGTATTTGAAGGACCAGAAGCCAGGGGAACGTCACCTGTGCAACAGCAGCAGGTCCCAGCAGGATGCATGTCACTGTCTGGCACTGGTTGCGGGCCTGGCCAGCCTGCATCCTGGTGGGGACTGCCTGCCGACCAGCATCACACATCCCAGGTCTGGGGGAAAGGGCCTCTGCCCCACGCCTGCCATCACAGCCCCAAGGGGTTAAGAGCTGTACATTAACACAAGCATTTTAAGTCCCTCATCTCTCAGACCTCTGCCAGCATCTGGTGAAGGGATCCTGGCTCTGGAAATGCCTGCCTCCTATTTGATTTACGCTCAATCAAATATCTGCATGGAGCAGGACTCGTACAGTCCAGTTATCAGGGCTCAGCTGTAGAGCACAAACTGACAGCAGCATCTTAGAAGTCCTCAAAACCATCTAGTCAGGAGAGAAACCAGCGCTGTGGTGCCAGTGCTCAGCCTGCCCTTTCCCACATCTGGCCCAGGGGAGAATGGCTGCCCACGAAGCACGGCTGCCAGGGCCAGCCCAAGGGGATCAGGGCCAGTTTGTACAACACAGCCACACACTGCTTCACTAGATCTCCGCTCAAAGATGCCTGGGTGCCTTTGCTAGGAGGAGGACCCAGATCTAGGTTTCTGCTGCTCTAGTGGCCACAGTGCATGGAGAGTACTGCAATGGCAACTGCAGAGCATCCAGACGTGGCAGTCCATGAGCTGTTGGGGGCTAGTGATAAGGAATGGCAGGTGCCAGGGGCACACTGACTGCCCTTCTTCCATCCCTGTGTGATTACAACACATCCTTACTGCTTCACGGCACAGCGTATGTGAATGCACAAGGCCGGAAACATTTCCAAGCCTGCTTCTCCTCCCACTCTGCCGGCCACCACCCAAGCCTGCTGTGTGGGACACAGCCAACTGTTTTGCAGTGAAGCAATTTTAAAGGCTTGACAGCATCAACCCCCTCCCCAACAAAGCATTGGCCAACTGCCGCAAAACTCACTTGTCCAGGAACAAATCCAGGGAATCCCGCTACAGCTCATTTCAAGAGACTTTCCTCCAAGCAGGTCTGAATTAAATGGTACCAAGAACATTTTTACATTCATCATGAGATCCAAATGGGTTTTCAACACGCGATCAATGGGTCCACAGAATCCTATCCCCAGTGCTTCCCCTCTGGCCAGTGGCCCTGCCATCTGCAGCAATCGTTTTGCTTCATGCCTTGTTGTTGTCCCCGACCTCCAGGTGACTGCATCCACTCCAGCCACAAGGCCCCCACCTGGGAGCTGTCCCCGCCCCACAGCATTTCAGAGTCCAAAGTCCCATCGATCCCTGTCAGCATGCAACTCCACAACTGGAGAGATGGGAGCACTGCAGAGCATCAGCCATGTTCTGCCCGGTGGAAAACCTTTGGCACCAGCACTGACGATTTATCTGGAAGAGGAAAGGATAAAGAAAAAGTAATGTAGCATGAGCAGCAGGGTTCACAGTGCTTGTGATGAGTAACATAAGACACACAATTTTCTCTAGGATTCTAAATAGGGAGGGTGAGGTCTTTAAAAGTAACACAGGCCTTTTTGAGAACACAAGTTTCCTGCCAGCAGAGTGACTGTGAAACTGGGACACAGTTGTTAGACGCTGGAGGACGGGAGGACAAGTGCACTGGCATAGCCTGACAGCACAGTAGAACAAAAATTGCAACTTCAGTTTAGACATGTGCTGTGCCAAGTACACACAGAGGAGGACCAAATGAATAGACAGTCGTGACCTGTGGCTCAGTATCAGGGCAGCTAACTTTGTTTCCTGCCCCAGGTGGGCACTTCAACTTCACCTTCACACACAGCTCAACAGCTACCCATCACCGAAGCTATTCTCCAGCAGGATGAACATATTTTGGTGGGAGGGTAATGAACAGAGAGAACAGCATCCAAAGCTACTTTCAGATACTGAAGTGAAAGTAATAGGCATCCACATGCATCACAGCAGCAGCCACCAGCAAGACACTCGGCTTGCCCCTCTAAGCTCCCTGCCAAATTCCCTTGTGCCACTCCAAGGAGAGCAGGCCATGGCTGTGTTTCTGTTCTGCAAGAAAACCTATGCATCAAAAAGCCAAGGCACTGCCCATTTCTGTGAGTGTTGTTCCACATTTGTTCCCACCACAACACAGCTCTATTTTCCAAGCACATCCTCACTCTGTGGAGTAAAGGACATGTAGGCTATTGATACACAAGAGGGCAGGGCTTCTGTCTGGAGGGCCCTCACCAAGTTGGAGGACTGGGCCAACAACAGTGCTGTGAAATTCAACACGGACAAGTGCATAGCCCTACACCCAGAACAGGACAACCCCATGCTCCTCCACAGCCTAGGGTCCAGCTGGCTCGGGATGTGGTGGAGAACACATTGAACACAAGCCAGCAGTGCATCTTTGTGGCAATGAAAGCCAAGCTGTAATAAGGGAGACTCAGATGGGACAGAAGGAAAAAAGTTCTGCCCCAGGAGAACAGCGTAACTCTAGAGTCCAGAGAGGTGGTCGCACCTCCATTCTTGGCAGTCATCAGTCCTTGCCTATACAAGGTCCCAAGCAACCTGACCTGGCTGTGAGGGTGGCCCTGCTTGGGCAGAGGGTGGACAGAGACCTCCCGAGGTCCCGTCCTACCTAAACTTGGCCATGATTGTATTATCTCCTGATCCAGTCTGCCCGCTATGTGTCTTGCATCTGCCACAACACAGCTCAGGAAACACCTCAACCCATTTTACTGTACCTCTTATCCTTTGAGTGGGCTGTCTATATCCACAAATAATTAGAACTGTCCCCAGACTGTGGGGCTGCTACCTTCCAGAAAAAATGCTTAGTGAGGGTATGTTTTACGTAGGCTTTCTGGTGCCTACTGACAGGGGAATGGGGGTCTGCTTTAAGGTCTCACTTGGAACAAGGGCTGATCACAGTAGGAGTGGGGGGGTAAACCAAGGCAACATTAACTCGCTCGCTGCCGTTCTTGGGACAGATGATCTCCGTCAGTCCCTCTGGTCTCGGCTGACTCAGCAGTTCTCCTGTGAATAAGGGAAAAGAATGAAAACATTTAAGCATCAGCAAGGCAGTTTTTGCAATTTTTGCTTTTAGCATACCTTCCGCCTCCCCCTCACCAAGTAAATGTCCATGACGGATGCAGGTGAGCACTGTAAGAGGGCTTACTGGTCCTGCAACCCAAGCAGGTCTCATCCGTGTAACCATGGTGAATGCCCTGGTGATTACAGCTTGGAGACATGCTGCTCCACACAAACATATCATCTGCCATCTTTCCTGTCTCTGCTTTGAATCACTGCACACAGACTTGAGAGCTCCTTAGGGATTCATAGCATCTAGATGGAACTTAATGAGACGGAGGTTTTAGGAGTAGGTGTTTTAATTAGGCTTTGGGGGCAGATGGGATCCAGAAGTTTACCTTCAATCTCCATGGAAGGGAAGAAGCTGACCTGTAGCATCGGCAGGATAATTGGTAGACAGATAGAGAAAGCCACAGATAAAAGCCTTATTATTCACATACTACATGTGAATACTACATGGCTGCATACTACAGCCATTCACACCCACAAAGCTACCCAAAAAGCAGCTGTTGTTCAGTTCAAGCAGAAGGATGCTACAAGGACCCTGCCAAGACCACCTTCTTTGGTATGAACCAGAAAGAAGATGATTTGAAAGTGCAACCCTGCCCATTGCAGCTGTCCAGACGTTGCTCCCGTACTGCGATTTTTGAGCTGGAGCTACCTAGGAGCTGGAGAGACCCTGCTGTTCTGTGATGGCTGGCCAACCACAGGGTGCCTCTTTTAGCTGCCAGAACAACATTTAGAAACAGGTAAAAATACTTGAGAGGATTCCCTTACGCCCCTCTCCCTGGGCACGCTTGCCACAGCTGCCATGGAACTGTTGTGTCCTGTCAGGGTTCTGTGCCACGCTATACTCTGCTGAGCATGCAGATCCCAGCTCCCAGCTGTCAGCTCTTCCCTAATGGAGGCAATACCAGCTCTGCGAGTCAGTAGCAGCGGGGGGCTCTCCACCACATGGTATCCTCCTGCTAAATGAGTTGCGTCAGCTCCACTGTTCAAGTGCCAAGTTGGCAGCTCCCCACCGCTGGCACCCTTGCAGCATGTAGTCCAGGGCAAGACGCAGGTCAGCACAGCGAGAGGGGAAAGGCAGGTGCTGAGATGTGCCCAGCTCTGAGGAACACTTTCCCAACAGCTTGCTCAGAGCAACTCAAGTTTCTTCCTGGCTCCACTCCACACATGACTGGCCCCAGCAGGGCAGATTCCCCAGCCATCGACATGCCATCTCCTCAGCGTAGTCCAGCCACAGCTTAGACACCCAATAGCACCAGAAGCACCTCTTGATACCAGTCTGGCAGGTAGGGTCTGCTCTCAAAGGCAATATGGGATGGCAGCATCCATGCCCAGCAAGGGCTCAATTCTTCTGCTGAGCATGCCCACATCGGTGCCACACAGTCCTACCCGAGGCAGAGGCACCAGGCCACAACTGGCTTGTGCCAGCTAGATCAGTGGCTTCCTTTACAGAGGCAGGCTGCAGTCACAGGTCCACATAAAACTCTCTGTACCCATCAATAAAGCAGCCACCGTGAGCTGTCCCCACTTCCACTAAAACTCTCAAGACAGATGGTCCTTGGACTCCCGCATTTTGAAATGCACTTGCAATAAATCACTCTGCTGTTAAACAAAGAACATCAGAAAAATGTCTCCTTGTGTGTAGCTGCAATTGCCAGGCACCCCAGGAAAACCAGAAAAGAAATCACACTTCGAAGAAGTACTGCCCAGCCTGTGCAGCAATGCCACAACAGTCAGCCCCATCATGCCTGAAGCCCCCCAAATGTCGCTTCCCTCCTCTCTTCCTCACACTGTTTCTCTTCTCACTTTCATGAAAAAGCAGATCTAAAACCCCTTGGTTTTTCCAAAGCAAGAACACATCATTTGGTATCATGAAAGCGGAGGGGAGGGCTTGGCAGGGAACACGCACACACACAGTTCCTCTTGAGAGATACCCTACCTCTGGGACCCGTAATTCCAGTTTGCCCCCATGGTCTGCAATCTGAATTCACATTTGGTTTGAATATCTACCCTCGTCTCACACCCACACTCAAACCTGAAGTGGCAGAGCAGCTTTTAAGCCACGCAGACATGTCTCCCAAAACAGAAGAATCGTGATGGTATTTGCAATTCAAAGTTAAAACTGCAAGGCAGTGTCCTCAATTATGTGAGCTGTCACAAATTGAAAGCAGCATTGCATCCCATCACGCACGTACGCCACAGGGTTCCATGTCCCAGAGATTCCCAGGTTTCCAACCCCAGGTTGACTTCCAAACTGCAGTATTGCTAACAGTACTGAAAACACCGGCTCTGAAAGATGAGTCATAAAATCAGTGCACCATTATGCGCTTTAAAAACAGGGCTAATATCCATCAGCTCTTAAACCAGAGGAGTGTAGTAAGGCTAGTCTGTCTGCTTGAGCCTTCATTCCCATTTCCATCTCCCCACTTCAGGAATCCTTAGATGGAGATTTCTCAAGCACAGGAGATTGCTGCAGGGTAAAATAGATGCCTGATTTGCAGGCAAACCCCTTCCCACAGCTCTTCAGTCAACCCTCCTTTTCTTTATGGCTTTACCTTCCCCTCCAGATTGCCTCTGGGATAAAGCTCACCTCACTCTGTCCCCAGCCCTATCCACACCTTCTCCAGCCCAACTCCCATTTACTGCTGACGTACATTTTTTTTTGACTTTTCTCACAGTTACTCCATGAGATACATCACGTACCAAGTGGGCAGAAGGTCACCTGTGCATCCTTCCTATTCCTCCCCCTCCCAGCTAAGGGATGCCCCAACGCCTTCCCACCATAGCGTTCTCGTCCCCTTGTCTTTGCAAACTGCTCATCTTTGCTGCACAAACTCATCACAGTACTAAACCAGGCATAACTATTTAAATCATGCTTCACATCACTGCTAAATAAAAGCCAGTGCAAATCCCATTGCTATATGCAATCTTCAGAGCTGTAACTAACTAGCATTGAGACACTGCTTGGATGCAACTCTCCAGGCCCAGAATCTCTTGGAGGTCTCAGAAACCTCACATTTCTATTCAGAAATTATTCAAATTGCAGAAGATTAGAAATAAAAGTCTTCAGGGCTGCAGCAGGGTGGGAAAGAGGAGATCAAACGAAGTATTGCACCGATACAAAAGAAAAAGCTAAGTGCCTGGCATGGGTGGTGTTTTCTTGGTTTAACTGTTAAGTTTACATGTAGCTGCAGCAGCCCGTGTCTGCAGCACTTGTTCTGCCCCTATGTACAGACTAGCCAGTCTGTATTTTGATTGCACATTCCTTCATGAGCATGTCACAAATTTTACTGGAAACCTCAGTTCGGCCTGCCCCCTCTGAACGGTTGCCCTGTAATAGCACACACGCAGACCACGAAGCTTATCCTAGTCTCATCGTGGCCTTCATTTTAATGTTAACTTCCACAGAAGCCACTAAGGTTTTAACCAAACCTCCAACTACTTAGTCTTAAGGCTAAAGACTAACAGTTGAGTTTTTGAAGAGCAATCCCATCTTCCAGGAGACAAATCTGCATTACTAAGATTACTCAGGTGATTTAGGACCATGAGCCCTATTTGCAAAGGCACTTTAATGCTGGGTACTTGCTGACCAAGGCCTGATTTTTAGATGCATCGAAGTTCCAGTTCAGGCGATAGCAGAGGGACACTCACCAAGCCGGGTTAAAAACACCTGCAAACAGACAGCAGATGCTTTAGAAGATACTCCTTGCTGCCTCTCCATTTACAATGGCACAAATGGTGCAGAGGAGTTGCGTCTGTCCCATGACCCACCATCCTGGCGTTTTGGCACAGAAACAGATCTCCACAACCGGGTAAAATGTGCTGTACAGCAAGCTAATGCTGAGACACAAACCGAGACCCTGTCATGAACCTACCATGGTCGGTTTTGGCAGCAGAGTAAGCTGGTTTGTAAACTCCCCCAGGCAGATGGGCACAGTGAGTCATGCTGCCTGCACCATTTAAAAGAAACCTCCTACATGTGGGCAGTCACAGGCAAAGGTAGGAACAAACCTTCAGCCATGCCCAAAGCTCTACCAGAAGGGCCTGTTTCCTCTCAGCATTAGCCAGCTCACCCAAAGCAGATATTTCTGTCAGCAAGATGTTCTTTGCTGCCGCTGTTTTATCCCAGAACAGACACAGGCATGGCCAACTTTGAGCTGCTTGTGCTGGGTTCCCGGGCCAGGCCAATGCCTGCAGCCCGCCAGGATAACTGCATGTGCCAGACAGAGCTCAACTGTGTATTGCCACTCAGTGCACGAGGAAGACATTTCTGCCACCATATATGCCCAGGAACACAGAAAAACATCAGTGTACAATTTTTGGTCAAGTACAGAGTTAGGCACATTTTTCCTTCCATCCTTGATTTACTGTGATTTGGGGAGGGATGCCTCCCTTGGAGCCCATGCCAGCAATCAGACCCATGCGTGCTGCAAAACACACTTCACTGACCTTTAGGAAATACCCGTGAAATGCCAGATACCCATGACGAATCAGAGAGTTAGGAGGGAGGCTGACAGCAAGAAAAGCAAGTACTTGCAAGAGCGTTCAGTTACTCCATGCTGGCAGCCAGACAAGCCCAGCTGTAAGCCTACTTGGCTGTCTAACAGAGAGAATGGTTTTTGCACGCAGGAAGGAAAATCCCACCCGGACCATTTGCCTTCACACAGTTCCCACTGCCACGGCTGTGCTAAGTGGCACAAGGTTCCCTGTTCACGTGTCAACAACTTGCAGCAAGGGCACGGGAGTGAGAGACTCGACTCTGGCCTGCCATGCCATCTCCTTTCTCTCAGAGCTCCCAGGAGAACACATTTGCACAGTAGCAGCCTGATGTGTTTCTCACTTTCATG